CCCCCGCAGTCCCCGCCCGCCTGTGTGCCACACCCCTCATGGACAGATACCTACTAGATAGATATAGATACATGCACCGGGCCCCCATTTGTCTGTCGCAGGTCCATCCACACCATGACATGACATGTCTGTTAAGAGAGAGAGAGAGAGAGACATACATATACAGATGTAATTGGGTCTGCCGGCGGCCGACCGATGGCGGAGCGAGTGAGGCTCATACACACACACCACCAGCCATCCCTAGCTATCATTGATGGTCGCTCCCTGCCTGTCTGCCGCCTGGCTGATGTGATCTGTCTGATGTGGCTGCTGGTGCCAGCTGTTGGTTTGGTGTGTACACTATGCTGGCGGGCTGATGCGAGTGATGTACCACTGCTAGATGCGCTCACGGCACTGTGCTGCCTGCCTTTCCCCCTCGGCTTTTTGATCGATTTTGATGTATGCGGTGAGTGAGTCGTGTGCGTGTGTGTTTTATCCGTCTGTGTGCAATGCCTGTTTGTTTTAGTGCCGCCACCCGCGCGCAGGCACACACACGGACACGTGTGTGTGTGGTCGTGCTTGCTTCAGCTGGACGAACGGTGCATGCATGTGTAGCACTAGCTACTGCGTCCCTTCGTGGCCCACGTGCCCAATCTAGCTCCCCTGCAAGAATGAATGAGTGCGTTCGTCGATGATGAGGTCAGCGAATGGATGACTGACTGCGTCGCTTGGTTGGTTGGTTTGGTTCGGTTCGTTCTTTCTCGTCGTTTCAATGACCTGCCTGCGCTCATGCGCCTGCCTGGCCGGCTCGCTCCATGCGTAGCTGTGCGTGTGTGCGTCTGTCTGGGTGGGTGGGTGGCTGCGCGGATGAGTGAGTGCCAAGAGTGACTGACCGACAGAAAAACAGTCTTAATTAAGGGCTAGTACTGTACACACAAAGTGAGTGGTGGACGGGATCGCAATGGATCGATGGCTTCAGGCAGGCGAATGCGTATAGGTCAATACCACCAGCCATGCAGCCACCCCCCGCCCACGAGTCAACCGTTCACACGTTCGACACATACCCTCATGCATTTAATGTCACCGCTGCCGCCCGAAGGACGGCGGTGCGAACGAGCTCTCGTCGCCGCTGGACGGCCCTTCGTAGCCATAGCAACCTTCCTGCACGCCAGCCGATCACACAAGCATCCTTCGATCCATCCCTCTCTGCTCGTGTCTCTCTCTTTCTGTGCGTCTCGTCTGATTGCTGACCTTGGCCTGTTCCACGAGGTGGTCGCCCACCGCCCGCAGTCCGTCGATCTGCTCCTTGATATCGCTGAACTGGCGCCGCAGCTGCTGAGCCGTCTTCAACACTGCCGCACGGTTGCACCCCGGGCCAGTCTACACACACACAACACCAGACCCGACAGCCATTCATTCATTGAGGGGCGGATGAGTGGGTGCGTGCGCTGTCCGGGTGCGGTGCCTGTTGGTGGTCTTCTTCCGTGTCTGTGGTGCCCCCCAAGACGAGGTCGGCCTTGTGCAGTTCGTTCTCGAGCTGTCCGATCTTCATGTGGGTCTCGTGGAAGGCCCGCTCGTTGGCCTGGCATCGCTCCAGGTCCCCTCGCAAGGCTGAGATCTCCTCGTGCAGGGCGGCCTTCTCGGCCATGCACTGACGCAAATACGCCTGCACACAGAGACAGAGACACAGAGACATGGAGAGACAGAGAGGGAGGATCGGTTGTCTGACATCCACTCACGAAGGTACCTGTGCGTCAAGGTACTCGTCAGGCCTTTCTGGCCCCTCTATCAGCTCTCTCCCACCCACACCACCACCACCCCTTTCGTCACTGTCATACGCCTCTCCCCCCTCTCCAGGCTCTCCTTCCACCCCCACCTCACCCACGATCTCCTCGCCCTCGCCCACAAGCCCATCGTCCCACTCGTCATAATCGCCCACGTACTCCTCCTCCCTGCCCATGTCTATGTCGTGTCTCATGTGTCTGATGTCTCTCGGCTGCTGTGGATACTGCTGCTGCTGTTGTGTGTGGTGCAGGCGCCATCCCTGGTAGTCTCTGGGCCTGGGTAGGGGGATGGAGGGGTACGTGTGGGGGTGGAGGGGCGGCCGGGGGTAGAGGGGGTCGCCCGGGGACAAGGGCGCGTGGGAGGTGTCATGCAAATCACGCTGTCAGCGGGATAGATGGATGGATGGATGGAAACACAGGCAGAGAGAGACAGAGATCGACCACACACACACACACACACAGACACACACGCCTCGCGGATGTGGAGAGATGTCCATGCTGACCTGATGTGCGTGTCTCTGCCTCTTGTGCGTTAGTCTGACTTACCACGGCCTGTTGGTGTTTCGGCTTCGGGCTAAGAAGGTTGTCCCTCATATACTGGGGGCCGGGCACATTGGCGCTCATATAGAAGGGGCTCTCGTCCGTCGGCCGGCCGGCCGCCCGTGTGTGGGGCAGCGCATTCCAGAACCTCTTGCACGGCCGCTCCCCTTCATGGTCAGGGATGCACGGACAGTACTTGGGATGGACGTCACTGCGGGGCAATGGCTCTTCACCCATCGCCCGCTTCTTGTGGGCCTTCTGCTGCTGCGGGCGGGACGGGGGCGGGGCTGCTCTGCGGAGGGGCTCGGCAATGAGGCGGGCGGACTGGTCTAGCAGGTCGATTGTCACGCCGATTTCCTGTGAAATGCACACACACAAAGTTGGGTGTAAAATGGCGCAGCGTGGCTGGACTGACCTTTTGGATGTCGCGGACGTCATCCATAGAGCTTCGTTCCCTCATGTCCTCGCCATCCAGCCACCATGCCATCCCGCCAGGACGCTTTGATGCAGTCTCCTCACACACGCCACCCTCCTCACCCCCACCACCACCACCACCCCCACCCCCACTCTCACCACCAGAAAGGCCACATATGCGCCGCCCGGCCACCTCTATCTCACCCCCAATACTCCGAAGCCGCGCCAGCTTCTCAACAACAGTCGATCTCAACGCGCCGATCAGCGCCTTGACATGCGAGCAGTCTGCCAGCCGGTTCAGATTGTCAGCGATGACGTCCAGGTACATGGCCTCCTCTCGGGCATCCCAGAGTGACCGCAAGAAGTAGGCCATAGCCGAGCTGGCGGCCGAATGGAGGAGGGCGGTGCGTGCGCGTGCGTGTGTGGGAGGGGGCGATGGGCGTGGGGGGGTAGGCTCGTTGTGGAAGGCGTGCTCGAGGATCTGGTTGCGCCGCATGATGATCTCGCTGAGATGACTGAGAGGGGACATAGATGCATCAAGGAATGCGTTGGTGTCTTTTGCCGTTTGTCTTTGTCTGTCTGCGTCACCGACCGCTGTAGCTCGTTGGCAAGGCTGATGAGAAGCCGGTCGAAGCCCGTGAAGGGGGTCGCAACGCCGGCCGGCTGCACACACACACACACACAGAGAGAGAGAGAGAGACATGGAGACACAGAAGGGATGAAAGCCCAAAGCCCATATATCCTCTCTCTCTTCCTCTTTCTTCTCTCTCTCTGTCTGACCAAGTTGAAGTCAGCTCTTCTCTTGTACACATCCGGCGGCCCCCAGTACCACTGCGGCACTGGGCCAGTCGGCCGCCAGAAGGGCACCAGCTCATCTTTGCCGTTCTTGATGTACCCCTTGGGCGCCCCGCGAGGATGCACCTTCTCCGGGCGGTGCCACAGCGGCGTCCCGGCAGGACCCTCGCGCGGCGGGGGCTGAGGCGCCTTGTAGTGCCGTGTGTATGGGGGTCGCTTCCTCATGTCGTCCTCTCTCTCTTTCTTGTGCACTTGTATGCGTGTGGTGTGGGTCATGCGTGTGCGGATGGGCGTGACCCGTGTGCCGAATGAAGGCGTGACCAGCACCTCCTCTTGCTGTCGCTGCTCTGGGGGTGTCACCGGCCTTCTCGGGGGCACACGGTACGCGTGTGTCTGCGGCCGGGGTGCTGCTGCTGCCGGTAGTGGGGGTGTGGCTGTGACTGGTGGCTGGTATCTGCGGACCAAAGGGCTCGATTTGGTCCGCACTGGCGGCGGGACCGTCACCGGCCGAGAGACCATCATCTGAGGGGAGGAAACCGCACGCGACGGCGCCTTGTGTCTCACAGCAGCCGATTTCGCTGCTGCCGAGACAGACGGAGGGGGCGAGCGAGGTGGCCACTGCCAATGTTGTTGTTGTTGCTGCTGCTGCTGCTGGTACTGCTGGTATGGCTGGTACTGGACCCTTGCAGGCAGCTGTTTAGGCGGGGACTCGGCCCTTCTCGCCTCTGCCTCCTTTTCCCTCCGTGCCCTCTCTGCCATCATTTTTTCAACCTCGGTGTCTCCCGATGCGCCTCTCTTGTCAGTGGGCCACCGCTCCTGAAGGTAGTATTCGGGCGAGTCGCCCCTTTTTCTGTCCTGGCCGAAGGGCGCCCGCTGCTTGTAGGTGAAGGTGTCCAGGTTGGGCCTGGTGAAGAGCTTCGTCTTCTCCAGGTCTCGGTACAGCCGCGCCATGTCGCACTCTGGCTCCTGGGCTGGCCTGGTGCGTGCATGGCTGGGTGAATGTGGCCTAACCACCACCTGCCCGTACGCCTGGTCCTTCCTGGGCTGAACAGGGGGAGACCAGATCTTGCTCAGCGTCTTGGCGGGAATCTTCTTGCCCGGGTGGGAAGCCTTGCTCGGCCGCCTCTCCCTCCGCGACACGGTCACCTTGGCAGGCCCCGTCTCCTCGGCAACCGGTGCAGGGGGCATGCACAAGACCTGCTGCTCCCTGCTGGGAAGTGTGGGAAGCGTGAAGTGCGCCACAGGAGGGCCGATATGCGGGAAGACCATGTGTGCGGGAGGCGGGGTGGGAGGTGGGGTGGGCAGCGCCGGGAAGAGGTGTGGTCTCGGTGGGGGCGGGAGGGGCGGTCGATACGGGAACAGCGGCACGGCAGGCGGCTGTGGAGGCCGGGGAATGGACACAGGCATATCCACGCTCGATGTGTGCCCCGTTGAAGCGGTCCTCTGCGGGCCAAACTCACCAACAGCAACTGGCGGCCGCACAAACACGGGGGGAGGCCGTGGAAGGGGCACGACACCAGATGGAGGAGGCAGCACGTGGGGCACTGCCTGTGGCGGGAAGGCCGGCACTGACGGAGACGGAGCCAACGGCCTCATGGGATGGATAGCAGAAGACGGCTGCATCGGGACGAGTGGCGGGTGCGGCATCGGGGGGAGGGGCGGGTGCGGCGCAGTGGTCAGCCGGCCGACAGCAGGAGGCGGCGTGTGGGAGAGGGTGACGGGCATCGGTGGAGGCACCGTCACTCTCGGGGGTGGCGGGGGCGTGACGCTTCTCATCTTGGTGGTGGTGATGCTGACTTTGTTGGTGTGGCTCGTCTGCTCCGTCCCGTGAGGCGTGACCACGCTCTCCTTCTCCGGCAGGTGGAACAGCACCCGGCTCACATAGCTCTCGGGATCGGTCTCGATGAACAGGTTGACGTCTTTGCCCCCCTTCACATGGAACTTGCCCTGCGCGTGCTGCATGACGATAGCCCGGTTCGCGGCCGCGTCGAAAGCCGTCATCTGGCCGTTGTTCGCCGCTGGATAGGGCGGCATTTGTTGCTTGTTTGCTTGCTTGAGTGACTCGAACGACGGAAATGAGTGACCCTGAGTCACGGGAGAGAAGGGGACCGAAGAGAGAGAGGTGACAAAAAAGGCAGAAAGAGGCTTTTCTGGCCATGCTGCTCACCTGAGACGACGCGCCTCCAGCCAACAAGACAGGCTGCGCCGATCCCTTCGTCCCTTGCTCTCAGTCAGAGTCTTCAGCTCACAGCATACGCAACCTCGCGTGGATGAACCGTTGCCTCGCGCGTTGATTGAGGCTCACAGACACTGCTGCGCCGGCACAGCTGCAAGACACAAGTCGCTGCAACCGCACGGAGAGCACAGGAAACCAAAGGTCAAGCTTGCAAACTTGCCCCCACGCCCCCCATTTCGCATGCACTCGTCGCGCCCCCTTTGAGCTCGCATTTCGCCGTCGGCATTGCAAAAGAGCTCTTTTTGAGTCTCTGTGAGCAGTAGTGCCCTTCATTCAACCGAACTCTCGTCCCTCTGTCATCGCGGCGCTCATCTTTGAGCCCCAACGACGGTCCGTGAGCCGTCTCGGCTGCTCGTCGAGCCCTTCGCCGCCGCCAACTCGTCGCTCTGCCTCGCCAGGAGGCCTGTTCTGCTGATATCGGCCGGTCCAAGACCGCCACTGAAGAGCTCGCCAATCCCTTAGCGGCCGACTCGTCCGTCCGTCTCATATTTCGTCTGCTCTGACATTTGTCGGCCTCTGCCCGCTGCCTATGACGCCGTATTATCTCAACTCGACGGCCATGGAGAGCAGCGACACCATGTCTCACGCCCCCAACTTCACCCACGGCTTCCCCCAGGGCTACGGGTCGTATGAGGGTCAGCAGAAACTGCAGCCAAGGAGCCGCCGCGTCCGGCCAGCCTGCTCCAACCACACGAACCACCCTCTCGCCGAGCCCATCCCGACGCACGGCCACGAGCGCATCGCAAGGAAGAGCTTCCACCCCGGCTGTGTGAAGGAGACGGGCCGTGTGGGCGGACGGGTGAGTGCAGGGAGCAACGACTCGACACAGATGCCGCCATCCCGTCAGGACAGCGACCGCAGTGTCGATGGGGGGGTGGATGTACACCAGTATCAGGGAGAGGTGGGGGTGGGGATGGGGAGGGGTGTGATGGGTTGGGGGGCGGCTGTGTGTACATACCAGCCGCATGTGGTGCTGTATCGCCCGGAGGCGCTGCGCATCATCATGCCGGCGACACCTGCAACCGCCCGCCACGTGTCAGGTACACAAAACGACAAAGGGACGGACATCGAGGGGTCTGTATCACCATGGCCTTTGTGTGTGTTGTCCATTAGGTTTCTCTACTCAGCAGCAGCAGCAGCACGACTGTTGCGACCTGTGTGCAGCGGTGTATGACGTGGTCGACGGCATCGGGGAGTGTGTGGTGTCAGCTGTGGAGGGGGCTATCGACCGCCTGAAGTGGTTCTTCACTTTCGAGTGACGACTAATCCATCGGTCTGCCAGGTGCGTGAGGGGAACAGAAACACACACGGAGAGTGGAAAGGAGAAGAGACGCATACATGCAAGTATGTATGTATGTGTGTATTCTTCCTTGTCTGTCCCTCTGGTTGTCTGTCTACAGCCATCCATTCGCCAGGCTGCGGCCGCGGTTGGATGCGATGCCCGTGCTGTGTCTGTCTGTCTATCTCAACTATCGACCTGGAGGGATACAGTACACATATGGTGACGGAACTCACACACACACACACACGAGGGGGAGGAGACACGTGCACCACATACGCTTCACTCGCCACACACGCGGGATGGGATACGGACGGGCATTGTGTTTGGATGGAGAGGGAGCGAGCGAGTGTTGTGTTTGCATGTATGTATCCTATCCATCTGTGTGTGTCTCTCTTTGCTCTTGGCGGCTGTGCCGTGTGTGCCCCATATCACACACCATGCCATGCCATGCATGGCACCCATGTGTCGTGTGTATACGTCTCCCTTCTTGACGGCTATGCGGTCTCACCCATACATATCACACAATGGCACACATGTACATTTCTGTTTGGGCAGCCGGGGCGGGCAGATTTTGATGGCAAACCTTTCTGCTTAGTTGATCGTCTCCTTAATTTCCTTCCTGCCTGCTACAGCAGACAAGTATCCTTGTCGTTCGTCTCCTCCTTAGTTGGCTTCCTGAGCATCTCCCTCCCCCGCCGTCCTCGTGTTCTCATTCACGGGTTGATTGGCCCGGCCCACTTTTCTGCCTTGGCTGCGTATTTTTTGTCGCCCTCCTGACGTGTGGCCGTCTGTGTGGTGTGATGTGTGGTGTGGTGTGGTGTAATGTGCGATGGGAGATGGTGACGGCCACAGACAGAGAGATAAGGATATATGGATGGCTGGATGACCTCCCCCCC